CTACTATTCTGTGATTCTGTGATTCAGTCAACCTTAAAGGAAGGATCTTGAAGCAGCCAGTATTAAAAATTCCTTTCTTTCTCAAGGTTTCCAAAGCTCATTCACACCTAAAACGGCCAATCATGGAATGGACAAGCAATCTCTAAAGTAATAAAAAGGTTGTACCTCTGCTTTGTAAGAGAAAGGCTTTGAAGTAAACAAACTGCTGGAGAAAGGATCTCTACATCTGAAACCAAAATATAAGCTCTGCAGCAAAAAGACATTTTCATAGCCTGCCTCCCACTCTGTTCCCTCGAGTGGAGAACTGCTTTTGGTCTTTATACTGTTCTGACCCTAGTGGGAAGGAAAGGCAGTGTTTACCCTTGATATAATCAGAAAGTCTACAAAAAAACCTTGTTTTACTTCTCACCCAATAAAATGCTGAAATTTGGGTGACGTTTTGACAATGACATTTTAAACATCAGGACAGTACCTTCAGAAGGAACTTCTGGATAGACAGGAACAGGAGTTACGTTGTTGTGCAATAAACTCATGTAAAAAAAAATATCAAAGACCAAGCAGAGAAGGAATTATACTGAATGAACCATGTCCAGTGTTACCTAACCAGCAAGGCTGATAACTCAAAACATGCATGATAGTTCACTACTAATAATAGATTGAGAAAGGTTTACCAGCTTAGTGGTGGGGGTGGAGGTACATCTTGTCCTTTGTGGTATTCCTCAACTCTTTGGCTGATGTAAGAAAGGTCATAACATGCATTAGCTTTCCTCTGCAAGCTGTCAAGCTTATCATAGTAATGACCATAACGGCCATGTACTCTGATACTTTCTGGCCTTTCTCCCATCTTAAATCTGGAGCTTTGTGGCTGAAAATATAATAAAGGATATTAATTTAGCTGTTCTCACTTGTATCAGCACAAGTTTGAATTAACTTCCTGTCCTTCTCCCCAGTCTGAGTTGAATGATAATATAGTCTACAGTATAGTTAGTGTAAGTTTTCAAAATTCTTTCGTATATAAGCCAGAAACTTCCTAACTTCTCAGGGTATATGTCAACTTATCACTGTCTTTTCCTCTGTTTCATCAGCTCCTGTCATTAAGCAGCAGCCCATATTGTTGTGTGAGTCAGTCAGCATGGGGCTTTGTACCCTGTAGTGTCATTGCCCTGGAGTCACTTCATTGTTCTGAAGCCTAAATCACTGAATTCATTCCAGAAGAATCTAATTTTGACATGTGAGAGCAAGGGGAATCTGGGCAGTATACACATCGACTGCTGCTTTCAGGGGACCACTGTGCTACTTCATGTCACCTTCTCTTTGATCATATGCCTGTGGGAGCTTGCCTTTCATTTTTCAAAGTCCTTACTATGATGAAACACCCCTGTATTTCTACTTTGTGACAAGACTGTCTTTTCCATTTCTCATAAGAACAATGGAGAGAAGGTGATTGTGTTAGCTGCCACTGCATGATATAAAAGAAGTGAGGTAAGACATTCACAAACTTTTCCATGGTGGGAGACTAAAAACCACTGTGCAGTGTATGAGAAAAATGCTGAATTTTGCTTATTTTCTTACATAAATGAAAAAGCATCTAAGTATCCCTTCCTTAGATAGTAAATACATTAACTATTTCTCTCTGTTTTCCTTCCTAGAAACACTGAAAATAGGCTCATCTATCCACAGTATAGTCCACATTACAGTAAAATATAAATTCATATCTATGTAAGAAGAAAATTTTCCACTGCCGATAATGTTCCCAAGGAAGAGGTAACATCAAAAAGTGTTCATCTTGTTCCTTATTGAATACGTTTTACAGTATGGTATCCAGAAGTATGGCAATCCCAAGCAATAGGAAGAACAAATCAGACCATCTAAATAAATGTAAGAGGATTCAGAACTGTGACCAGTGAAGCAGGCGTCCTGGTGACGCAGGCCATGGAAAAGGCTGAGATAATAAATGCCTTCCTCCCTTCATCCTCTACTAGCAAGACCAGCCTTCAGGAATCCCAGGCCCCCACAACCAGGGAGAAAGTCTGGAGCAAGGAAGACATACCCTTGGTGGAAATGGATCAGCTTAGAGAATACATAAACAGAGTGGACAAACGTAAGTCCATGGGCCCTGATGGGATGCACCCATGAGTACTGACGGAGCTGGCAGATGTCATGGTAAAGCCACTCTATATTATCTTTGACTCGGAAAGCAAATGTCACTCATATCTTCAAAAAGGGCAGGAAGGAGGACCCAGGGAACAACAGGCTGGTCAGCCTCACCTTAATGTCTAGAAAAGTAGTGCAACAAGTAATCCTGGAAGCTATTTCCAGGCACATAAAGCACGAGAAGGTGATCGGGAGTAGTCAGCATGGATCTACCACAGGGAAGTCATGATTGACCAAGCCAGTAACCTTCTACAATGAAATGATTGGCGTGGTAGACAAAGGGAGAGCAGAGGATATTGTCGACCTTAACTTCAGTAAGGCTTTTGATACTGTCTTCCACAAGATCTGCATAGAGAAGCTGAAGAAGTACGGGCTGAATTAGCAGACAGTGGACTAAAAACTGGCTGAATAGCTGGAGGCAGAGGGTGGTGATCATATTACAAAGTCTAATTAGAGGCCAGTGACTGGAGGTGCAGCCCAGGGGTCAGTACTGGGTTCGATCCTGTTTAACATCTTCATTAATAATCTGGATGATGGTGCAGAATGTATCCTCTGCAAGTTTGCTGATGACACCAAACCGGGAGGAGTGGCTGATAGACCAGAGGGTCGTGCTGCCATCCAGAGGGACCACAACAGGCTGGAGAAATGGGCTGACAGGGACCACATCAAGTTCAGCAAGGGGAACTGCAAAGATCTGCATCTGGGCAGGAATAATCCCTTGCACCACTACATGCTGGGGGCCAACTGACTGAAAAGCAGCTTTGCAGAAAAGTACCTGGGGGTTCTAGTGGACAACAAGCTGAACATGAGTCAACAACATGCCCTTGTGGCAAAGAAGGTGAACGGTATCCTGGGCTGCATTAGGCAAAGTATTGCCAGTAGGCTGAGGGAGGTGATCCTCCCCCTCTGTTCAGCACTGGTGGCCACACCTGGATTGCTGGGCACAGTTCTGAGCTCCTCAGTACAAGAGAGACATGGAGATACTGGAGAGAGTACCAAAGAGCCATTAAGATGATGAAGGGACTGGAGCATCTCTCCTCTGATGAAAGGCTGAGTGCTGAGACTGTTCAGCCTCAAGAAGGCTCAGGGGGACCTTATTAATGTATATAAATACCTGAAGGGAGGGTGCAAAGAGGACGGAGCCAGGCCCCTTTCAGTGGTGCCCAGTGACAGGACCAGAGGCAACGGGCACAAACTGTAACACAGGAGGTTCGCTCTGAACATGAGGAAACACTTTTTTGCTGTGACAGTGACTGAGCACTATAATAGATTGCCCAGAGAGGCAATCTATTTGAGTCTCCCTCCTTGGAGATATTCAAAAGCCGCCTGGATGTGGTCCTGGGCAACTAGCTCTAGGTGGCCCTGCTTGAGCAGGGTGCTGGACAAGGTGACCTCCAGAAGTCCCTTCCAACCTCAACCATCCCGTGATTCTGTGAATCCTGAGGCAACACACTGAAAGTATAATATTATGCAAGTATCCCTGCACCCCTGCAAACTGGTTGCTTCATTCGGGTGCTGAAAGAATGTGGGAACTTTCCCAGTGTTAATATTAGAGCATCATAGATCAAAACACTGTGGACAAAATTCTGCCTTTGATTACAGCACTGCACAGTGAAAGGAAACTTTACCTTCCTAACTTAATCCATCTCTGGATTTGCATTGGATATGCACAAATGTAACTATGAGGAAAACCAAGTCCTATATTCTGCACGGGGCCAGTATTACCCATAGGCAGTTTAAGTGATTGCTTGAGGGCTGCAGTTCTGGGAACTCCACAATTCCCCATCATCAGTTAAACCACCATAACCACACAGTGCAATTACTGCTGAAGAGCTCCCAGATACTAAATGCGCTTTGCTCTGTGTTCACCAGCACCAAGGCAGCACTACGTGCTTTTGAAGATAAACAGAAAGGTATAAAATGATGCCAAGTAAGAGGCTGGAGACAGCATACAGCTGACATCCAGCCTGACGAAAGAAGGAGGTGGAAAATGAGTGAGAGACACAAGTGGTCGTGAAGAACTGGGGCCTTCTGCTGTAGGGATTGATCCCAGTTTGCTGTAATAGTATCTGAGACAAGTGCAGTGGGTGCCAGTGGTTTTGCCCATGAATGGACTCTCAGAAGGTCTGAGGTAAGAGGATCAGTGTATTTGCTTCTACAGCAAAAATGCAAATGCAGAGTTTATCTGCCTTTGTGCAAATGTAAATGCAAAGCATGCCTGACTCCTTTTGTTACAAAGAACCACACTGAAGCAGCCTAAATTCAGTGTTTCCCACTTAGGCTTTCTAAAACACCTCTTCTGAGGCTTCAGGAGTGCTTAACTGTCTCTGCTGACTTTGTGTAGGCATTACACTGAATTTATTAAATCTTAATGAAGCCTTTTAAAGGGTCTTTTCTAAGAGCAGGAATTTGCCTTCTGAAGATGATTAAACATTATGAAAATGTGGATGCACAGTACCTGAAAAATAGGCTGTTGCCCTCTTGAAGGAAGTTTCCATTCAGTTCTTTGAAATAATTCCTGTTTCTTGACAGGCACCATGATTCCAGATTCCGGAGAAACTTGGTCTTGGACTCTTCTTTTTTGAAGTTTATGTGCTTTTTAACAATAAAAGATTAAAAGGGTACCTTCTGTGCCCTCTACATGATTAATGAACATGTAGTTACAAACCACAGCAGGACTCTTGTTATTTTATGCTTACTGTTTAACATTTTCCTATATGTTAGGGTGTGGAAGATAGCTAGACAAGTAACATTGCCACGAAACCCTTCTCGCATAGATAACATTGCCTAATCACATTTAACAAATCCTAATAGTTAAGGAGATCAACAAAAAATTTCCCTCCAATTATAACTGGAATATAGTATTACTCTGTTTATAGGCACAGAGGCAAGAGGCGACCACACTGCCGGTCTGTGGGGAGATGGATTGACTTTAGTCATGGGGTGGAATGTGGCAGTGCAGGCCCACTCAGCCCCCCTGCACCTGGCAATCTCAGAACCAGCCAACATTGCATTCTTTCTTGTACTGCAAGAGCAGTTAGCTGGCACGAGTAGCCATTTTTCTTGCCTTTGAGCAAAGAGCAGTAAGCTGGGACAACTTGGCACTTTCATTGTCTTTGTACAAAAGCAGTGAGTTGGGCTGATCAGGCACCCCCGACCACAGCTGGAACTCCTGCTGCCTGGATCGCACCTGCCTGGTAAATGTCCGAACTGTACAGTCCAGGAAGCGCTGGAATTGTATGGTTGCTGTCAAGAGACCAGCATTACCTCATATGGATTGTGGCCAGGATGGAAATTTGCTGATGCCTAAAGTCAATCATTCTGAGACCCTATAAACTGCGGTACCAAGTGAGGCCCTTTGAGCTCTCCTGGACTACAAAGATGATGAGGGGACTGGAGCATCTCTCCTACGAGGAGAGGCTGAGGGAGCTGGGCTTGTTCAGCCTCAAGAAGAAAAGGCTGAGAGGGGACCCAATAAATGCTTATAAATATCTCAAGGGTGGGTGTCAGGAGGATGGGGCCAAAC